AAAAAACCCCAAAAAAAAAAAAAAAAAAAAAGAAAAAAAAAAAAAAGAGTCCCCATGATGGGTCTGAGTTACTTATCCATAGCCAGAGATGCCTCCCATCCATACCCTCGTTAGGTGCTTCCGTCCCCTTCTGGTAGGACAGGCCCTGAAACTTTATGTGAACGCAGCGTGCAAACGAGCTCCGAGAAATCCTGGAATCCTTCCCACATTTTTGACGAGAGAGAAATTCAGTTAAAGTCGGGCAGCACCAGGTAACAGGGGCGCGAGGGAACTGCATTCTTGTTGAGGCCTGTAATGAGTTATGTCCCACACCAGTCACCGTCTGGGTCAGCAGCCTTCCAAGGGCCTTCATCTGGTATCTGCTCTTCATCATCTGGGAAAGGACCTAGGGGAGCCATTTCAAGGTTTGAACAGAGCGGACGGAGATGCCAACCATTGTGCAAGAAAGTGTTTTCTTTTGAGAGTTACAAAGATCTGCACAGCTGTGAACACTTGGGGAAGGGCAGCTGGCAGAGAGCAGGTGAGCTCTTGCTTATCAATGGTCAGACTGTGAAAATTTGCCTTGATAATGGACCAGAACTCTAGGATTGTTGTCATCACAATCGGACTTGGTCCAGGTTCGATTCCAGGAAACATTTGTGGACCAGCTGAGGGGGAGCTGGAGGTGGGGTTTTCATGGTTGGCAGCTCGTTGCGTCATGCTGGCTCACAGTTCTGTGGATGTCATGAGTCCTGCGAGAGCATCCTTTTCTACCACCATGGGAACTCACAGACATAATGATTCCAAGAGATAAAGACTGTGTAGAGACCAGCAGTTAGCGTAATGTCTATGTCGCTGGACTTCTAGGTAGTCAACGGTGGTTCAAGTCCCAGACCTGGTGACTTAAACTCACCCCGGGCGCGTGTGCGTGTGTGCCCAAGATCCTGAGAGGAGAATAGAGGAGAAGGGATTGCGGCATGGCCATCCCCCCTGAGGGGTGATTTCTCGCTTTTGGTCTCTCTGTCTGTCTGTCTGGCCAACACACATGCCCTATAGCAAATACCACCGCCCAATTGCCTTATAAGAAATACCCTGACCAAAAAAAAAAAAAAAAAAAGATTGTGCTTGTTTTGCTTTTTGTCATCATTTCAGTGTTGAGGCCAGAGCTTTTGCTTTATTTTCCTTACTATTTGATTTCTGCACATCAGCACAATGCAGTGTCTTTTGACACAATGCTGTTCAGTCTTGCTTTCACCTTGGTCCGTAATAGAAACCTGGACCAGTAGCAGAGAGTCAAGCATGCAAAGATTCCCACTTCCCAAACACCATACAGGAACTTCGCCCTTGTCAGCTCAGGTGTGTGTTTAGGTCATCTTATTAGGGATGTCTAGCTTAGAGCAGCTCGGGTGGCGGGGAAGTCGTAGGGTTTATCCACTCAACTCCACAAAGGCTCCAGACGTGCTGCGGCCTCATCAGGCACCCAGCACGCACCCTGTCCGCAGCCAAGATGCCCAAAAGGAAGGTCAGCCGAGGGGGCGGCCAAGGAAGAGCCAAGAGGAGATCGGCGAGGTGAGGTTGTCGGCTAAACCTGCTCCTACAAAAGTGTAGACAAAGCCAAAAAAGGCCGCAGGGAAGGAGAAATCTTCAGACAAAAGAGTGCAAACAAAAGGGAAAAGGGGAGCAAAGGGGAAACAGGCTGAAGTGGCCAACCGAGACACTGAAGATTTACCTGCAGAAAATGGAGAAACTAAAAATGAGAGTCCACCCTCTGATGAAGCAGGCGAGAAAGAAGCCCAGTGTGAGTAATATCATATACCATGTCTTATCAATGGTCCCTGTCTCCTTCTTATACAATTCAGGGGAATATTTTTATCAACTATTTTGTAAATGCAAGTTTTTTAGTAGCTCTAGAAACATTTTTAAGAAGGAGAGAATCCCACCTCATCCCATTTTTTAAGTGTAAATGCTTTTTTTTTTTTTAAGAGGTGAAATCATTTACTGGTTGTTTATTTTTCAGTACAACCAGAAAATAGGGGGATATTGACTTACAGGAGGCTTTGACTCTCTTGTGTATCAGCCTAACATTCCATAGGTCGGGGTTGGTGGGTAGTTTTTATATCCTAAATACAAAGCATACTAAATGGCAGTTTGTAGTCACAGTCATGCATTTAATGTGTCTTGAATATTTTAAATTACTTCTACTATGTTTTTTAGTAGTATTTTTTCCTAAAGAAAACCACTCTTTGTTGCTCTCCCTGTCAGAATTGTGTGCACTCTGTAACATCTTTGGTCGTGGTAGTCCAGTTTTCCTAATAATTCTGTTCATGTGCTATGAAAGATTGGGAATTTGAAGTATGTAGTCTGTATGATACTAAATTGTGATTTGGTGGGACTTACGTAACAGCTTTCAACATCTGAAGACAGTGGTTCTTGATATCCTCTTAAGGAAAATTTGCCTACAAATCTGAAGCTGGAATGTCACTGGAATAACTTAAAAAGAATCACTATACTTGGCTTTTTAAATTTTTGGTATGTATGTACAGAATTGGGTACAAATGGGAATGTCTGTTCTGATCCTTGACACAACCAATAAATCTCAATTTCAAAAAAAAAAAGAAAAAAAGATGTCTAACTTACAGAGCAATGGCAAGCGTTGTGTGTTTGGAAGTCCAGCACCCTTGTGTTGGCCTCCCCATTCCATCCTGAAACTCCGAGTGGCCTTGGGGAGCAGTTTAGTCTGAGTAGGCATTTCTTAATCTGTGGAACAAGGGTAGTGACAGCTGCCAGTGGGACCCATGTGAGATGTGCAGACCGAGGCGGGCGAGGCGGGCAGCACCGCCCGTCCCAGGGCACACTCCACAGAGCGCAGGCTTCTCACGTCATTAACAAGATGAAAGAGCTACGGCATCCGACACGAGTCAGCACCTGCCATTTTTTCCATGATATTTCTACCTCAGGGTATCTAAAGGCTTTTTCATAAGTTCATCTCTTGAGGTTGGCAGGTGCGTGATGATTAAGGTCACGGGACTCTCACATGGCTGACCATGGTTCAAGTCCCAGACTGGGAGGCTTGCTTTCTCACTTTCCCTCTCTTCTTTCTCTCTCTCTCTCTCTGGAAATATTAAAATAATAATAATGAATAAAATAGTTCTTTGTTTAAAAAAAGTTCACCTCTTGCTTCCTTTGGATCGGGAGACACAGGAAATGCAGAATGCCCAGCACGGTTACCCTAACTAACCCAGGGAATAAGTAGATGCATGACCAAACCATTTGCCTGAATAAATGTACCTGTATAATTTGGAGCTGACTGTGTTGTGCTGAGGTCATGCATGCAATGTTTGTGGGAACCCAGTGGATCCAAAATGGCCCTGGAATTCAACCATAAAATAAACAAAGGTCCCAAGCAAAACTGGTGAGACTCCATGTGAGCAGTGCTGCCTGGGGGAGCGGAATTTCCTGGGCAGAGCACCTCCCCGGCCTGGCCTCCTCCCAGAGGGCCCCACCTCCATGCACACAGGCTCATGGACTCTCCAATACAGAGCCGTCTCACAGCCCACTCTCTGGCGTGTGCCTTGGGTGGGGAGACACAGAACGTACTGGCAGGCTTTTCGCTCTCCGCGCTAAACACCTACAAGGCCCTAGGAGGGCACAACACACTCCAGCTAGCCCTGCCCTGCGGAAGGCGGGAGCGAACCCCCAGTCACTCTGACGAATTGTGTTGCATCCGGCTTCTGACAGAGGACACTGGCCCAGGCTCAGGAATATCTCTGAAGCCTTTCTTGCCATCAGAAAGGGAGTATGACTTAGACATAGTTCCAGGACTTTAAGTCCTCGGTGCTTTTTAGAATGCCTCCCCTGTTGAATGATCTTATAGAGAAAAGAAGTTTCCAATGAACAATTCAATTAAAATAGTGTCCCTGGGTGCCAGCAGGTAGCGTGGTGGTTAAGGACACTAGACTCCCACATGGCTGACCACAGTTCGAGCCCTGGACCTGGAGACTTTCTCACTCTCTCTTTCTCCCTCTCTCTCTCTCTGTCACTGTGTCCCTCTCTGGTCAAGTTAAAATAAATAAATAAATAAATAGATAGATAGATAGATAGATAGATAGATAGATAGATAGATAGATAAGGTTAAATAAAATAATTCTTTTTAAAAAATTCATGTCCCTCTGTTAGAAGAGGTGGGGTGTATTATTTCAGAAGACACAGGAGTAGGAAGGAGTTCGATTCATTCTGGGACTAAGGATTTGCCCCAAAGCCTCTCTTTGTGCAAGGACAGTCCTAATTGTGAGGTTCAAAATCTCGAGAAAAGTAGAATGGAAGGCAAGTGGCGACCACTGGCTCCGAAATCTCCTTTAAACAAAAGTGCCGGCCCCGATGAGGAGCAAGCAGCCTGCTTGTAATTTACACAAAAGTGTGACCCGTCCCTAGTGTGTCTGCACACATGCAGTTGCTCGTTAAACCTGAGCACATGCCCCACTGCAGAACAGGGGTGAACGCTCACGCCACCAAAGCCTGAGCTGGGCCTCCCGCGCTAGACCAGCCTGTGGTTGGTTCCAATTTTCCCCCGTTCCTCTCCTCACCTCCTTTTTCTCCTTCCCATTGTATCCTGGTTGCTTTCAAAGGGATTAATTCCTGTAACACTTCGGTAGAGAGAAAAGGGCTTTACTTGGCAGCTTTGGGTTTACAAGAGCGTTGGTGAACAATCAATCTGTCTGGCAGGAAGGTACGCCCACAGATGTTACAGGGGACCAGCTGGCTCTGGGCACTGGTCCAAGCAGCTTCATTTAAAGCATCCAGATCGTAGAAACCTTTGGCTGGAATGGTAAAGAAAAAGACGAAAAAAAAAAAAAAAAGGAAAAATAAGAAAATAATAAGAAAGAAAAAGGGAAAACAGATCCATATTTATTCTAGAGAACATAGTCTACTTTTCATGGAAAATATTTTCAGGAAATACCTGTTGACTGAGGCTTTTAAACAAATCATTATGTTTGCCAGAATAAAAAAAAAAAATGAAAGAAAGAAAGAAAAAGAAATCTGCTCACTCTTTCAAGGGTTGAGTAAAGTCAGCTATGAATCTGAGGTTCTTATTTGGATTTTAAAACGGGAGGACGTGGCTTTATGTGTTATGGTATGCATTCTTCACTAATTATTAACATCTTTGCTTACACGTTGCTATCTTGTAAATATAGCTTCGGGCTTTCTTTCAGTGGACTCTAAATATAAGCTTACAAAGGGAAAAGAACAGATATTTGTATTTTCCTCTTCTGTAACCCTCCAGTGGAATGCTTGGAGAGGTCCGAACTGAGAGTGCAGAGTGGATTTAAGGTGGGATGATGCCCTAAACCCTGATCATCTCTCCGTGGCCATAAACTCAGAGATCCTTTGAGTCATTAAAGAGAAGAATGTAAACCAATGGTTAATCTGACGGAAAGAAGCGTCCTTACGAAAACAACAGAGACAGTGAGAAATGTGCCCTCTTCATGGGCAGAGCTGAGGGGAGACGGCACGTGGCTTTATTTTAGAGGAAACAATGGGGGACCTAGTCGTAATAAACCTTCCTTAAATAGAATGACTTTAGTACATGAAATTGACTATGTCTTCGGATTGCCCAAACTAGGCCCCCTACATGTAACCAGGCGCTGGAAACGACAGAGCTTAGTTCTGATCAGCACACGGTGCGTCTTCACCACACCTACACTGTTCTCATAGGGTTTCTATCAGTTGGTTCTCAGGGTTGCAGCGAGCATTAGAGTCCTCAACTTGCATGGGACCAGCAGTTAGTGGAATGACTATGTTGCTGGACTCCCACGTAGTCGACCGCAGTTCGCGTCCCAGACCCGGTGGCTTAAACGCACGCCGGGCCCATGTGCGTGTGTGCCCAAGATCCCAAGAGGAGAATGAAGGAGAAGGGATTGCAGCGTGGCCATCCCCCCTGAGGGGTGATTTCTCTCTTTTTGTCTCTCTCTCTCTCTCTCTCTCTGTCTTTCTGGCGAGTGCACACACCCTATAGCAAAAACCTCTCCAAAAAAAAAAAAAAAGTAGAAATAAAAAAATTAAAAAAGAGTCCTCAACTTGCATGACTCACATGTTCTTTGCTCCATGGAAATGGAAATCCCAGTGCAACCTCGTATTTCCCCTTTGGATAAAGCAAGTGTCGCCTCCGTGCAGAAATCTGAGCATTTATTTTGAGTGCTGTGAAAACTGTCAACAGCATGGCGCTGACTTTCTCGTCACCCATACGAGTTTTCATACAGACTCACACATTCCCGAGTTGTCAGTGACTCTCGCTCCAAAGTGAATCATCCCATTTCTAAGTGTTTCTGCACAGGGTTTTGAAGCCGTGTCTGGTGGATGAGGTATTTGAGCTCCCTGACTGAAGGGGGCCACGGGGATGCAAAGGGTAACATGCATTTTCTTTCTATAGGAAGAGTGTCTTCAGAGGTAAAAACAGCATGGGAGCAAGAGGAGAATCAGGGTGACCGCATGGTAGGAGCCCCATTTCCCATCTGGAAGCAATAATGAAATAGTGGACCCACCAGGGCCTTCATTTCTCTTACTTCCTCTAGCCTTGTGCTAATTATGGCCAAGCAGAAGTGATGAAGAGTAAAAAAGAAGGAGACAGACTTCTGACACCCCTATGGGGATTGCTGGAGAGTCCCAGGGAGATAAACCCTCTTGGCAAGCAATGATCTAATTTAATAGGCAGGTACTTTCATTTTGAGCTCTTTTCCCACTTGCATACAAAGTCCTCCTCTAGACCAGGCTAGTGACATCGAGAACTTAATCATGGCAGTCTAGATTCCCCTCAGTGGGTCGTTACAAAATCCTCCTTGGTCATACCTCTCCCGGGCATGCTTCAGACTGATAAAAAGGACTTCCAAGGTACCTTCTAGCAACGCTAACCCATGGTTACATACAGAGAATGAATTCATTGAAAGCTAATCTTGGGTCCAGCAGGTGGCATAATAGTTAAGGCACTAGACTCCCACAGGGTAGGCCACGGTTCAAATCTTGAATCTGGCAGCTTAAAACTCATGCTGGGTGTGTGTGCATGCCCGAAGTCCTGAGATGAGAATGACGGAGAAGGGATTGCAGTGTGGCCATCCTTCTGGGGGGTGAGTTCTCATTTTCTTTCTCTCTGTCTCTGTCTGTCTGGTGAGTGCATGTGCCCTATAGCAAAAACTATAGGAAAAGAAAGATAATCTTTTTTATTTTTTTTTTTGGAGAGGTTTTTTTCTATAGGGTGCATGTGCTCGCCCGACAGACAGAGAGAGCAAGAAAAAAAGAAATCACCCCCAGGGGGGATGGTCACGCCACAATCCCTTCTCCTCCATTCTCCTCTCGGGATCTTGGGCACACACGCACACGCGCCTGGCGTGATTTTAAGCCACCGGGTCCAGGACTCAAACTGCGGTCGACTACGTGGGAGTCCAGCGACATAGCCATTATGCTAACTGCTGATCCCAAGAAAGATCATTTTAAAGCCAAGATTTTCATTGGAAAGGAACTAGGAGATCACCAGGGAAAATGGCAAAGATAGAATATAATAAGCAAGTCTGAGCTCACGTGGGACAAAATTCTCTGAGCTCTCCACACCCCTAAATGAATAAGCTTCAGGCTCTGTGACGAGACCACAGGACTCTGCAGTTCCAGTACCATCTGCCGTGCATGGTGCTTTACGGATTATTAACTTCAACACATGTTTAGGGCCAGCAGGTGGCCTGGTGGTTAAGGGGCTAGATCCCACGTGATCTACAGGACAGTTCAAGTCCCAGATCCAATGGCTTGAAAACCATGCCAGGCACGTGTGCATGTGTGCCCCAAATCCTGAGAAAAGGAAGGATTGTTGTGACCATCCCCTTCCTGGGTGGGGGAGGTGCTTGCTCACTTTCCTTCTCTCTCTCTCTCTCTCTCTCTCTCTCTTTCTGTCTGGTGATTAAATGTGCCCTATAGCAAAAAAATATATATATTATTATTTTAAATTTTATGTGATGGGACCTGCAGATGGTGTAGCAGTTACATTGCTGGACTCCCACGTGACCAACCGTGGTTCAAGTCCTGGACCTGGAGCTTGAAAATTGCACTGGGTGCACGCACAAGTGTGCCCAAGATCCCAAGAAGAGAATAGAGGAGAAGAGATTGTGGCATGGCCATCCTCCCGGGGGGTGATTTCTCACCTCCTCTCTCACTGTCTCTCTCTCTCTCTCTCTGGTGAGTGCATGTGCCCTATGGCAAAAATCTCTTTTAAAAAATTATTTATGTGGCAATTTCAGAACGATGTCTAGATTCTAGTTTATTTTGTATTACTGACAGATATGACCACCTTGGGCTAACACTAATGGTAAAACCGGCTGAAACTGGTAGCCGCAGTCTCCTTTGGAGAGCCTGGACTCTCCAGCCCCCTCAGACTCCACCTTCCCTGTCCCTCACACACGGACCAGGTTCTTCAGTGTGGTTACCTGACTAGGAGACCCTGTAGGCATTTGGATTTGGCACCTCTCCTCTGTGAACCCGAGACACCTACAACATGTCTGAAAATAAGACTCAGTTTCCATTAACGTTTTTTAAGCTTTACGTTTTGTGAGTGTTATGTTTGATCATACGTGAAAGTAGCTTTGGGAGATACAGTAAGCTCCAGTGGGTCCTTCTCACAGTGTGGCCACTCATACGTGAAAGTAGCTCCAGTGGGTCCTTCTCACAGTGTGGCCAGGACAGTGTCTTTGTGTCTTGATCTGGAGATGACACTCTGGGCGGCATCCCAGAGCTGATCTTCCTATTTGGCGGTAGCCAAGGCAGTGAGCCCTGCTGATTTCAGTTGTTTAAATAAAGAAAGGAAAGAACACCTTTGCCCTTACGTTTAGAGAGACGTCTCCCACAGGCACGCACGGTCTCTTCCCTGGGCACTTACCGGCAATGGTCCTGACTTCCGGTTTTTTAGGTTCTGGCCTCCTTAACTCCTTAGGCAGCAAGCTGTTCTCGTTATGCCATTTCTTCAGACATTGTGGCTCATGGATGCCGATGGATTTCGTTCCATATTCACGACCACAGATGTAGCAAATGACGGTTGGTGGACGCCTTATCGTTGTGGGCTGCAAGTAAGACACAACGTGTTCAAGTTTGGGTTTGGAAACTGCATTTTAAAACATTAGCACATTCAGGCCCCGGCATGGTGGCTCAGGTGGTGGGAGCCTGGTACCCAGGGCCATGTGGGAGAGCTCAGGGTTTAGGTGTGGGTTGGTGTGACCAAGCTGCGCACACCCGCGATCCTGGCTGGCAGGAGGGCTGAGGGGAGAATTGCGGCATGGCCTGGCAGGGGGCCCTTTCTCTCTCTCTCTCTCTCATAAAGTAACTAAATAAACTTTAAAATGATAGTATATTCACCTTCGTTGGGAAAATCAACTTTTTTTTTTTTTTTAATTTCAACGAGTCTGGTCAATTGAACCTCGTTGGCCGTTAAGACACCGAACTATGTTATCTGTGTGAAGTGGCGATAAGGATGTGAGTGTGGGAGAGACAAAGAGGGGGTCTCCAGGATTCTCCATATTGGCACCGGTACGAAATGCATATTCCCACTTAATAAGTATTGATAAATAAGCAGGCACTGCCTTCTGACTGTTCTGAGTTACCATGCTGAGAGAGCACCGGGATAAGTCAGGCCTGAGTCTTCCACTCAATGACCTCTGGCTGAGGACCAGATGATGTAATGGTTACATGACTGGACTCCCACGTGGCAGACTGTGGTTCAAGTCCCAAACCCGGAGGCTTGAAATTCACACTGGACACGTGTGCGTGCGTGCCAAAGATCCCAGAAGGAGAATGAAGGAGAAGGGATTGTAGCATGGCCATCCCCCAGGGGGTGATTTCTCACTCTGTATCTCTCTGGCGAGTGTACGCGTCCTATAACACACACACACACACACACACACACACACCAAAACACCCCCCCCAAAAATAAAACTAAATAAGCATCCTCCGGCTGTAGGCCCCAGCATGTCCGAGAAGTAGCGCGCTGTCACTGAGGTCTGAACAGACGCTGCTCGGCCTGCGTGCTCACATCGCATGTCCTCCTGCGGGTGCTCCTGTGCGGCTCCACCTTTTCATCCTGGAGGAGATTTCACCAACACACACGGCTGCTAATCAATCCCAACGAGAACCGGTGAGTAATTGCCCCGTTTCCTCTCCCACGGGGCCGTCCCAGCTACTCAGGAATGTCCTGTATGGGCTTCCTTCTCTTTCCTGTATTTCCTTTCATTCTTTCCTTGGGTGTCCTGGATTACCTCCCAGATAAACCACTTGAACTCAGATTCTTTCTTAGTTCCCTTAGTTTCTGGGGTAGCCCAGTCTGAGAGGGAGCTAGCCGTGAGATGCAGCAGGGAACCCCTGCTGTCTGGGATGCAGACACGTTGCTCCCACCAAAACAATGAGGCCAAGCCTGCTAGCCTCCAGCATGGAACCTTTGAGTCCATGGGAGACTCAGAGTTGCAAGGTAACTCATGAAACCACAGACCTGCCTCATTTTGGAGATGGACCAGCAGAACCAATAAAAAGCCTCCCATGCTCCAAACCTTACATGATTATGAAGCAGCAGTAGTCGGCCATAGAGGAACCAGCAGGGCAGCCGAGCGCAAGCGCCGCAGAGGTGAGGCTTCGAGGGACTACCTGTGCATTTTGCCAGCAACCGAGTCTCACACCCAGTAACAGAAAGGTGAGACAGCATGACCCGGGGAGGGGGCATTGAGAGACGCCTCCACCAATTCAGGAACACAGGAGCTGCCCAAATCCGAAGGGAGAGCTGGAGAACTAGGCATGGCACCCAGCACCATGCGAGGAGTCTGGTGCCAAAGAGGGGAAGAAGCTCTGCCAGGGACTCCTGTGTCATGGCATTTGGGGTCTCTCAGAGTCTAAGGATGCACCAGGAAAACTGGGAGGAACACTCAGATCCAGGCCTTCTGCTAAGCAGGAGGCAAGGGTGGGTGGCTTACCACTGGGGGCATTTAAACCATGGAGCATTGAACATAACCACAACACAGACGATGTCCAGCTCCTGCTACCGACGGACCACATGAACAGAAGCTCTGCACTAACAGCTCGGCAGGAGACACGGCGTGCTGGTTTACGGGCGAACGTCCCTCAGAGCCAACGTTCCCTGCCCACGGCGCCCAGCCTTCAGCCACAATCACAGTGCTCGTGCCGACACATACACACACAGGAGATAGAGCCATCATTATCGGATACAATACCAAATACAACCGACCAAGACAGGGCCTCGGTACCGGGATCGCTGGAGCTTTTAAATACTTACTTTAAGAGAGATCGTTAAATAATTACACTATGTTTAAAAATCTGCCGAAAAAGTGGACAGCACGTGTGAATATATGGGGAATTCCGGCACTGAGATAAAAAGGAGAGGAAAAATGATTAAAGAAAACGGATGGGAAGTGTTAACAGAAAAGACAGGATAGCGGAGATGACATGTCAGTTTGATAGACTTTCTGATATATGGGAAATTCCGGCACTGAGATAAAAAGGAGAGAGAGGAAAAATGATTAAAGAAAACGGATGGGAAGTGTTAACAGAAAAGACACGATAGCGGAGATGACATGTCAGTTTGATAGACTTTCTGCCCACATCCCACAAAGAAGGAGTCAGTCAATCTGAACATATGTTGAGAGATTATCCAAATATAGACAGAAAAATAGGTGCTAAAAGATGGAACAGAACAAGTGGCTGAACACGTGTGGAACTGAGCCCAGAGGACAAGAAAGAACGGACGTGAAACGCAGCAGGTGCGAGAGATGAGCAGATAATGGCTGAGAAGCTTCTCTCTTTTTTTCTTAGAGTCATTTTGTTTTTGTTTGTTTGTTTGTTTGTTTGCTATAGGGCATTTGTGCTTACTGGAGAGACAGAGAGAGAGATAGACAGAAAAGCAAGAAATCACCCCCCGGGGTAACGGCCATACCTCAATCCCTTCTCCTCTATTCTCCTCCTGGGATTTTGGGCATGCACGCACGTGTGCCCGACGTGAGTTTCAAGCGAGTGTGTGTTTAAAGCCACAGGGTCTAGGATTCGAACTGCAGTCATCCATGTAGGAGTCCAGTGCTTTAGCCACTATACCACCTGCTGGCCCCTGGATGAGAATTTTCTTTTCTTTTTATTTAACTTTATTTATCCATTTATTTTAATGCCAGCTGCAGGATGAGCATTTTCTAAAATGATTGAGAAACAAGTAACATAGTAATCTCAGAGAAATCAAAAAAACATAAATAAAAAAAAAAACAGAACTAGACACATTACAGTGAAACTGCTAAAAATAACAAGATAAGCTTGAAAGCAGTCAGAGAAAACAGAAACAATATATACAAGCAAACAGTGAAACCATGAGGAGAACTTCAGATGATCTCATCAGAAGGAAAATGGAAGGTGAGCAGGTGGCACGGAGACTAAGGTGCTGGATCCCACGTGGCCAGTTCTGTGGTTCTGCTGTAGAGTGTCACCAAATGAATGACCACCAAAGTCAAATTAAGTTTAAAGGGAGTCTTTATTAGCTGGCCAGCGACTACAGCCTGAGGCTCGGAGGCCGAGAGTCAGAACTGCAGCCCCAGCCAAAGTTTGGGGTAGCCTCTTATAGGGGTCGGTTGCCAGGTGTGCAGGATTCCTATGTGAAAGCAGTTACAGAAGCTGAGTCAAGCAGGTTAATTATTTCTGAGGGGAGTGGGGTTTCCATGCAACCAGTTACATTGCTAAACAAAGGGGTTTCGGGCTAGTTAGCAAGACAGTAGCAGGTACAGGATGTTGTCCTGGATGAGAAAACAGCACTCTCATGGGAAGAGCAAGCAGGAATCCAGAAGCAGACAGCCATGATAGGGGAAGGGTACAAAATGGATGAACACTTGTTCATGTGCAAGATCTAATATGCAGCCTTCCACAGTTACAGCCCCAGACCCAATGGCTTGAAAATCAGACCAGACCCATGTGCACATGTGCCCAAAATCCTGAAAGAAGGGATTACAGTGTGGCCATCCTCGCTAGGGGGCTGGTTTCTTACTTTCCCTCTCTCTCTCTCTCTCCAGCGAGTGCACATACCCATGGCAAAACAAAAAAAAAAAAAAAAAGAAAGAAAATGGAGACCAGGAAACAGTAGAATGACTTTTTTTAAAGGACTAAAAGAACACAACACATACACACATAACACTATTCTGTTAACTCAGAATTTCTCATCCAGTAAAAATATTCTTCAAAAACGAAGATGAAATAAAGACATCTTTGGCCAGACAAAAGGTGAAAGAATGCGTTCCCGGAAGACTTGTTCTACGAAAAAATGCTGAAGGCAAGTCTAAGTGCTGAAAGGAAAATGGCAGCTAGAAATCTGATTCCACAGAAAGAAATGGAAACACTGCAAAATGTAAATAGGTCGGTAATTTAAAGCAATCTTTAAAAATATTCCAAAATTTCATACACACACGATTATATGATTGAATCTTAGACTAGAGCCTTTTAAAGAAAAGTAACAAGGTGACCAGTGGATGGCGTAATGGTTATGTCACTGGGCTCCTACGTAGGCGACTGCAGTTCGAGTCCCAGACCTGGCAGCTTAAACTCACACTGGGCATGTATATGTGTATGTGTATGTGTGTGCCTAAAATCCCAACAGGAGAACAGAGGAGGATTGTGGCATGGCCATCCCCCCAGGAGTGATTTCTCCCTTTCTGTCTCTCTGTCTCTCTTTGTCTGGTGAGTGCATGAGCCCTATTTTGCTATAAGCAAAAATCTCTAAAAAAAAGGAACAAAAATATGGAGTTCATACTATATATATATATATATCAATAGCAAGTTACATATTGCCTATAATATATATAGCTATATATATATATATAGCAATAACAAGTTATAGGCAATAAGAGCACAAATTGGTAAAATTGGCAATATATTGTCATAAAATTCTTACATTTTTCTTGAAACAGATGTTTAGAAATAGAATCTGAGAAAAAGATGCATGTCTTAATCTATATAATCACCATTAGCACACACAAGCATGAAAAGAAGCAAAAGTGGAGACAGAATATTATAAAAATGTGAGGAGTTAACCAGA